CAAACCACTTGATGCGTCTGTATCGGTAGCTAAAAGCCTCAAAACCCCGCAAACTCAAACAAAAATGAAGAAGTTTCCCTTCTGCACGCTTGGTGATGGCTCCAGGCTTGGCTTTTCCCTGACACAGACCATTACCACCAGTACTGGATGAGGAGAGAGACACAAGTCTCACCTGGAGGATTTTTCCATAATATTCCATAATATTACCCTTGGTCAAGTTAAAAAAACAAAACCCAGTCGTTTACCAGTTCAACCAGCCAAGGCCACGCTGCGACACAACCTAGCGATGCTGAGAGGAGGGAGCAGCAGAAGAAATTTGGCTTTAGTTGCAGTAATTTGGCTTTAGTAAGCAAAAAAATCCTACTTTCACCCAAGGAAAAATGAATTAACCACAGAATAAGGTGCGTCTCCTCCCTTCCCTTCCCTCCTCCCTCTGTTTTACTCGCTTTCGTTTCTACCAAACCATCCTGAAATTATTCTTTAAATAAACCCTTCAGCCAGTGGCCAAAAGGGAGACGGAAGGGCCTGTCACGGAACATCTTCGAGAGGGGATCTGACCCGCAGCTCTTTAAGAGACAGGAATAGAAAAAGACATCTCAAATCCGTAGCCATCCGCGCAGGAAAGGAGCTTTGGCTCTCGACGGACGCTTCCTAAGCCGCTGGAAAGATGCTGCAGCTCCCTTCCTGCCCCGTGAAACTTGGTTTTCACATGGGCAATCATGAGAAGGACAGATTTTTTTCTCCCCTAAGCTGGGCTGGAAGAACCAGAGCTCCGAGGGAACTGGTTAAATCAGCATTTTGGGCTTTTAATCGTGTCTAAACCCAGCTGCCGAGGCAGCCCCGGCTCCCGCGGAGCCAGACGGGTTCTGAGGGAGGAGAACAAATCCTGCCCCTCCTATTTACTGAATGAACGCTCGCCTGGCTTCACGAGGGGGAATAATTAAAACAAACAAAGGAGAGTACCGACGGCTTCCTAACAATTTTTAGGCCTGTTTGTAGAGCAAACACTTCTGCAGGGCCGGGGAAAATAATTTCCAGCCATTGACCCCACCATTGAGAGAGCAAAAGAAGCCGCTAAAGACCCGAATCCTGCTGCAATAAGGTGGCTTGTCCCCGTTTCAGCTCTGAAGCTGATCCCTGGGCACATCAGGAGGAATCTCAATTTTGGCTCAAAGGGGTATTTGGCAGCTTTTTTTCTTTATAGGGGTGACGGCCTCAAAGTAGAAGGTATGAAAAACGAGCTCCAGCGGGGCAGCAGGCAACAGGACCCACCACAGTCTCCTTCGGGTATTGACTTGAAATGCTTCTCGGTGCTTTTCCTACCTTCATTTTGGGTGAGAACCATTCAAAATCCATCCCTGCTGGATTTGGCAGGCTCGTGCTGGATGTACAGCTTCACCCACGGCAGCCGGAAAGCGTTCCCAGAGCAAGGTCAGGCGAAGAGCAGGTTTTTTGCGTCAGCCGCTTTCGAGGTGGCAAACGGATTCCAAGCCACCTCCGAAGCCGAGCGAAGAAAAATGACTTTTTTTTTTATATATATCATTTTTTTTTAAACATTCAGAAGACACCCTGTACCGAACAACGGGGAGGAAAAGCTTGGCTGGCATTCAGCAGGCAGCATTAATTCAATCGCCAGGGGACACGCAGGCCCGGAGAAATCTGCTGTCAAGAGGGAGAAGCGGCGAAAAGGGGGGTTATTTTGACATGATGAGTCAACCCACCAAGAGGAATCCACCAGGGAAGGGCTCAGGATGCTGAGGCTGCGTGTGCAGGAGGGGGAAACACTGTCAACCCTCCCCCAAAGGCATCAGTCCTGGCTGGGATCTCTCTTTAATATTATAGAGATATCATACTTTATTACTTTAATATAATAGAGAGGTAGAGGAAAGAGTTAAGACTCGTTTTAAGAGCAACAGGGACACCTTTCTTCACAGATATTAAACCTTTTCCAGGGATGAAAGGCTCTGCACCCTCCCCACGTAGCAACAGGCCCTGGAATAAAATATAATAAAAGGAAAAAAAAAAAAAGAAGTGGGGCCAACACGGTGCCCTCACCCACAAAACCTGCCCAGAGCCATCAGGGCGGCTCATTCCAACAGCTCCTTCAGCCCTTCAAGTCTCCTCACTCTGCCACAGAACATACCTAAAGTGAGATAAGCAAAATTTAAAAAAAAAAACCCAACACTTTGCCATGGTAAATCTATGGGAAAACTAATTCAAAAGCGCTTTGCAGAACAATGGTCAGGCGTTTAGTTGAGATAAGGTGGGGGGTCATATAACCCCTCACTATTGTCTCCCCTCAGAGCAGCCCAACCCCAGCGAGAGGACGCAATCGCCTGCCCCCTGCCATGATCCCACGGACCCAGGAGCCAAGAGGCTCCTTCTGCAACACGAAGCCACCTCAGACACACCAACGCACAGTTTAAATTGAATAAAATGACAGTTTTGTCACAGAAATCTCCCAGGTTACTGCATGGCCTTCTATGCTGGAGTGACTGCACCAACGGACAAGGGAAGAGCCACGGATCTCATCTACTTGGATTTCTCTAAGGTCTTCGACGTGGTCCCCCCCAACATCCTCTAAATGGGCAAGGTTTAGATATGATGGGTGGACAGTTGGGTGGAAGAAGAATTGGTTGAATGGTCACATCCAGGGAGTAGGTGTCAACAGCTCAATGTCCAGGTGGAGATCAGTGACAAGTGGTGTCCCTCAGGGGTCCATATTGGGACCAGTAAAGTTCAATATCTTCATTAATGACATGAAGTTGTTGGAGCAGGGCCAGAGGAGGCCCTGGAGATGCTGGGAGGGCTGGAGCCCCTCTGCTGGGAGCGGGGGCTGAGAGAGTTGGGGGGGTTCAGCCTGGAGAAGAGAAACCTCCATGGAGGCCTTGGAGCCCCTTCCAGTCCCTAAAGAAGGGGGGCTCCAGGAGAGATGGGGAGGGACTCTGGATGAGGGAGGGGAGCCAGAGGAGGAGGGGGAAGGGTTTGACCCTGAAAGAGGGGAGATGGAGCTGAGATGTGGGGAAGAACTTGTTTGGTGGGAGGGTGGTGAGAGCCTGGCCCAGGTTGGCCAGAGAAGCTGTGGCTGCCCCATCCCTGGAAGGGTTCAAGGGCAGGTTGGAGGGGGCTTGGAGCAACGTGGGCTGGTGGGAGGTGTCCCTGCCCAGGGCAGGGGGTGGCACTGGGTGGGCTTTAAGGTCCCTTCCAACCCAAACCATTCTGTGATTCTATGTTACGGCAAAGATTGTCACTTCCAACCCAAACCACTCTATGATCCTATGTTACAGCAAAGACTGTCGCAAATACCTCATCTTAGAAGGTAAGAACCTCTGCCAAGGAGGGTCAGCTCAGGGCTGTGCTCTTCACAACGAGCATCTCAGCCTGTGCCACAGTCCTTCTTTGCAGGAGGCTGCAGCTGATGGATGGGGATGAAGAAGCCCCACGTAGCCCAGGGGTCCACCCCAATGACGCGTCCTGCAGTCCCCACGACTGGCAACAACCCTCCCCAGCTCCTTCCTCGGCGGCGGGAGGTAGGTGAAAAGTTTCAGCATGAGTAGGCTGGGAAACACCTTCACGTTTAATTAAACTTCAGAGTTAATTCTGCAATGACTCAACCAATCCCAGGAGGCGCATGTCGCACCCACCCCACAACAAACTCCTCTGAAGGCCTCCATGGAGGACTCCAGCATCTCCTGCCCACCGGCGGCCACTCTCAAAGCCCTCAGAGCCCACCCTCCACCCCAATGATGTGTCCTGCGGTCCCCAAGACTGGCACAACCCTCCCCAGCTCCTTCTTCGGCGGCGGGAGGTAGGTGAAAAGTTTCAGCATGAGTAGGCTGGGAAACACCTTCACGTTTAATTAAACTTCAGAGTTAATTCTGGAATGACTCAACCAATCCCAGGAGGCGCATGTCGCACCCACCCCACAACAAACTCCTCTGAAGGCCTCCATGGAGGACTCCTGCATCTCCTGCCCAATGGCAGCCACTCTCAAAGCCCTTAGAGCCCACCCCCCCAGAGCCAGGCACAATCCTGAAGGTTTCCCAAGGTTATAGATTATTTGTTTGATGTAAGAAAGCGGATATTCTTAGAAAATAAAGATTTTGCAGGGAAAAGGACTCTTCTAGCATAGGTTGGAGCTGAGGCTGGTCCATAAAGAGGCACCATGACCTCCCAGATGACTCCACCACCAAAACGTGGCAGGGGGGCCCCATTTCCTCCCCAGAAAAAAAGATGTTTGATTGAATCACTCTGCCTGGATGCTGGAAAAACCACCATGGTCCCAAGGGAGACGGAGGCTCCACCTCCCAGCCCATCCCCAGGGTGAGGGGCAGCATCAGAAGAGGGGGTGTCACCGGCCCATCACAGCACCCCCCCTGGGCTGGAGGTGCTCAGCACCCCCCCATCACCCAAAAAGGGTCCTCACAGAGATCCCCTCACCACCCTCTGGGGAGGACCAGCACCCCCTGACACCCACCTAGAGGGCTGGGGAAAGAGGGGGGGGAAAGATGTCTCAGCATCGCCTTTCTCTGCTGCCAAAAGCAATGGGAAGGGGGGGGGCTCTCAGCTCCCCAATTTTCTCCCACCAAAGGGGTTGAGGGGGCCCTCAGCTCCCTCCTTTTCCCTCACCAAAGGCAACCGATGGGACCCCAGTTCCCTCCTTCTCCCCACCAAAGGGGCTGGGGGGGACACTCGGCTCCCCCCCTTCTCCCTCACCAAAGGGGTTGGGGGGCCCTTGGCTCCCCCCTTTTCCCCCATCAAAGGCAACCAAGTGGCCCCAGTTGCCTCCTTCTCCCCACCAAAGGGGCTGGGGGGGCCCTCGGCTCCCCCTTCTCCCCCCAAAATGGACCCTCACCCTTCTCCCCCCCACCCAAAGCCACCCGAGTGGACCCCAGCCGCTTCCTTCTCCCCGGCAAAGGGACCGGGGGGGTCCCTCACTCCCTCATCCCCCCTCAGGGACCGGGGTCCCCCCCCACCTCCCCGGGGCGCCGGGCCGCTACCTTGAGGGTCACGTCGCAGAGCTTGCCCTGCCGCCGGATCTCGCCCATCACGCCGTAACCACGGCTGGGCAAATCGCCCACCGAGAAATGCACCAAATCCTCGGGGTCCAGCTCCGGCTCCGCCGCAGCCGCCGCCTCCAGCATCTTCCCCGCCGCTCCCCGCCTCGCTTCGCCTCCCCCGCTCCTTGTCCCCGCCCGGCCGCCGTAGCGCGGCCTCTACACACACACCCCCTCCCACTTCCGCCTCCCGCCACTTCCGGGAGAAGCCGGAAGTGATGGCTGCCATGGCAACGGTGTACACAGCCGCCGCCGAGGCCTCCCTTCGCCCGGGCCCGGCTGAGGAGGGGGCGCAGGTAGGTGAATCACAGAATCACAGAATCTTCTAGGTTGGAAGGGACCTTAAACATCATCTTGGCCAACCGTCAACCTCACTGACAAAAATAGACACCCACACAACAAACAAGGAGCATCATCACTAAACCAGACCTCCCAGCACTACATCAACCCTGTGATCACAGAATCCCAGAGTGATCTGGGGTTGGAAGGGACCTCTGGAGATCATCTCCTCCAACCCTCTGCCAGAGCAGGTCCACCCAGAGCAGGTCCCACAGGAACCAGCCGGGTTTGGAATGTCTACCTGTGTCAACCCTTTATTTTTAAACTTGACTACTCTATAGCTCACCTTTTTGTAATGAATAATATTATGTTTAATTTTAGGGAGTGCAACATTGTTGATTTTTCCTTTCCCCCCCCCCTCTCTAGTCAGAATGGATGCAGTGGAAAAGAGAGTCCACACGTTTGTGCGAGTCAAGCCAACAGCTGATTTTGCTCAAGATATGATCAAGTTTGGGCCAGACAACAAGGTAGAGAAAAAGGGATGGCAAGTGCAAAAGGTTTGGAATTTGGCTTCAGTTTTTTTTTTCCCTGCAGAAAGGCAGAATTCTTCCATTCCATAGTGTTTTGGTGCGTGTTGATTCGTGTGGTCCTGCTTGTTGTTTTTCTCTGCGCCGACAGTGGCTTGTGGTTTTGTATCAGCACATGTGACTGTAGGAAACACGCTTCTTGTGATGCAGTCACCAGAGAAAATCCTCCAAAGGACTGGGATTCTGACTGATCCTTAAGGAATTCCCAGTGGGAACCACAGTTCCAACCTAAGAGGTCTCCCTGTGGTACAGTCTATTTCTATCCCTCATGATGTAAGTTCCTCTCTTCACCTTCTCTTCATTAACTAAAAATTTTCCTGAGATGCAAGATCACACTCTGAAAGGTAAACAGATTAGTTTAGCCACATTTCCTGTTGTTTTTCTTTTAAATACCCATTACCAGAAAACACCATCCAGGTCAGTAAAATGATATTATTATTTGTGTTCCATTTTCTACTTTCCTTCAAATCTTCAGTGTTTCGGGGAGCTTTTTTTGGACAATAACTGCCGAAACTCTTCGTTGAAGTGATCTTCATCTCTTTTTGGGTTTCAGACCATAGATATCTACATCAAAAAAGATGCCAGGAAAGGAGTTGTAAACAACACGCAGACCGACTGGTCCTTTCGGCTGGATGGTGTCCTTCACAACACCTCCCAGGAGCTGGCCTACGAGACCGTGGCGAAGAAATTGGTGTCCGAAGCTTTAATTGGCTATAATGGTAATTTGCTATTTTTATTATGTTGCCATTAAGTGGAGATTTGATCTGAGGGAGAGATCCTTGTGATGCTCCATCTGAGGAATGCAGAGGTTCCCTCCCGAGTTTTATTCTTTTTGCTTTTGATTCTTTTCTAGGCACGATCATGTGCTACGGGCAAACGGGGGCCGGAAAAACTTACACGATGACGGGAGCGACTGCCGAGTACAAGCATCGAGGAATCATACCCCGGGCCATCCAGCAGGTACTGGATCCCAGTGGGAAAAGAGGCTGGAAGAAATAACAAGGAGTTCTGCTGTATAGTGGTGATGTTTCAGAGCATTGGGATGGTGTTGGCTTGAAACATGCTGGTTTGTGGGTCCCGTTGCTGTACAGAGGCACAATTTGACCACTGCTTTGAGGGGGCAGATCTGCTAATTTTTAGGCAGTGATACTGCAGAACGCTCTCCACTCTCACAAAGACAACAAGCACGCGTGGCATGGGGCTGAGATAACACATACAACCTAAAATAAGATGGGAAGAATTCTGTAGTTACGCTTTATTGTCATTTGCAGACGTTGTTTCTCTTTAATTCTGCTATTTCTTATAAATCAACTAGAATTTGCCGCTTTCCAAATGCCAGCAGGGCCTTCCAGAGTGGTGTTTTCAAAACTACCATGTTGAGACATATTTAAACTCTTGACTTGGCCCTGCCAGCCCTCGTGCAACCACAGTGCAGAATCAGCTACATGCCCGCAGAGGTGTTTATGGCTGCTTGAAAAATTAGAAATATCTTCTCTGGAAAGCCAGAAATAGCTAATAATTCTGTAATTATTCTAATAATTCTAATAATTCTGGCACTGACAAACTCTTTGCCTTTGTGTAGGTCTTCAAAGCGGCTGCACATTCCGTTGATCCGTTCCTCACTGTCCGAATATCCTACCTGGAAATCTACAACGAGACCTTGTTTGACCTTCTGGCCACCGTGGCGAGCAACGGGACCAGTGACATGCAGATGGCTGTAGTGGATTGTCCACAGGGTGTTTATGTCAAGGGCTTGTCTGTACACGCAGTGAGCCACGAGGAAGATGCTCTGAATCTCCTTTTTGAGGCAAGAGGGGAGATGGAGCTGAGATATGGGGAAGAACTTGTTTGGTGGGAGGGTGGTGAGAGCCTGGCCCAGGTTGGGCAGAGAAGCTGTGGCTGCCCCATCCCTGGAGGGGTTCAAGGGCAGGTTGGAGGGGGCTTGGAGCAACCTGGGCTGGTGGGAGGGGTCCGGGGGTGTGACTGGGGGGGCTTTACGGTCCTTTCCACCCAAACCTTCTATCATTTAAAGTGTGGAACCAGTCACTGACCTTCCAGCTCTCAGAGGTCATTGTCCTTTGAGACCCGGGCCGTGAAACCAGTTGACAAATGCATTTTGATTCTGTAGAACCTCCATTTTCCTTTTCTGCCTCCCGGCCTGGCAGCCCAGCTCTGTGACAGACCAGTGCTCCCAACAAGCAATTGCAACATCATTTTCAGTGTTGCTTTCTTTTCCTGTAAGTTGGCATCACAAATCCGTGGCAGCCACAGTTGGGTGAATCTTCTGGGTGACATTTGAATCTTGGGGAGCTCTTTGGTTTTCTAGTCATCAGAAAACTGAAAGAGCCAGGGACATCTTGCCTCTGAAGAAGGTTTGTCCGACTGTTCCTCAAAAAGCCACACATCTGTGAGCTGAGCCCTGAAAGTGAAAATGCAGATTATGTGGTCTCCGGTAAAAGGCATTTTTACAGTAAACAGTGACCTTTACCAACCACAGCGTGAAATGCTTTGAGAGGCCTTTGAGTGAGAAAATAAGGCGAACACGGCGAGCTCCTGCTCTGACTCTTCTAACCAAGAGGCTCTGCAGAGCAAGGAATGAACCCCTGTTTATTTAATTGGGTGGATTTCTAATTTTCCTTTCGTTCTACCACTGCGGACGTTTGAAAACACCAGCTCAACTTTTGCCTTCCTTTGCAGGGTGAGACCAACAGAGTGATAACGGAGCACACGCTGAATAAAAATTCATCCCGGTCCCATTGCATCTTCACTATTTATATTGAGGTAAGAGCTCCAGCGGTTCTTTTACGGACTCAAGTGGTTGAGGATCTTTCATATCTGTTTTATACCGTATGTCAGTTTTGTCTGCTCTTAAGTACAATTTATATTCTTTTCCCTTCCAGTCTCGTTTCAGGGTTTTCTCAGATGGCAAATGTGTTAACTCTAAAATCAACCTCATAGATCTGGCAGGCTCAGAGAGACTGAGCAAGACTGGAGTAAGTACTGGAAGAAATATTTCAGTTCGTGGTGAAGAATCCAGTAGTCAACACGGTGGAGATGAAATGATGGGTTTTCCCCACAACAGAATTCAGCCAGTGGTAAATGGGAGAGACTGGGACCAGTTAAGGCATTGGAGAGCTCTCAGTTGTTTGCTGCTGCTGTGTATAATTTCTAAATCCACATCTGTGTGACTCCCATCCTGCATGTGCCTTCCAACCTGACCCAAATTCAGTTAGTTTATCATTTCTCCACAAAAAAAAAGGCTGGAGCCATTGACTATTGAGACAAAGAGCCCCTGATTTCCCTCTTCACTCCATGAGGGACAGTGCAAATCCCTCACTTCTGGTCCCAGCAGGCAAACTTGAAATTTTCTTAGACCATTAGGGCTCAACAACTGAAAGTTCCTCAGGTCCTGTGTCACATTCTGTATTGATCAGAACAGAAATCCCATCAAATGTATCACTTTGGGAATGAAAACCAGTGGTCCTGGTAGACTTGTAATGAAAAACTGAGGTCTCAAAACTCATTTTCCAGCTGAAGAAAGCTCCAGATCATTGTTTCTGAATGAACTCCCTCCCCTCACAGTCCAGCAGAGTTGTCCCCTCGAGTGAGGAATATGCTCTTTTTGGTCTTCATTGCAGTCTGAAGGGCAGGTTCTGAAAGAAGCCACCTTCATCAACAAGTCTCTCTCCTTCCTTGAGCAAATCGTCATCGCTCTGGCTGATCCCAAGAGGGACCACATCCCCTTCAGGCAGAGCAAACTCACCCACGTGCTCAAGGACTCGCTGGGTAAGAGCTGGGCTTCTCGACAGCCCCAAATACTCTTCCTGGAAAACAGTATTGGTTCAATCAACTTATTAAATCCTAAGATCATAACATATAAGCACATGGAACTCATCATCATTCCAAGGATGTCTGTGTTTCCTCCTCAAATAAAACAGCAGATGCAGGAGATGGTACAAAGCCCCCACAGATCAAACCAGTAGAAATTCACAAAACCTTTGTTGGAATAATTGGAAAAAACTACCACCAAAAAATCCCAGCGTGTTATAAACCTTTTCAGATGCTCCTGCTTTAGCAGATGATGAAACCAAAGCTGTGATGCCTCCTGAATCCAGAGGAAAGGCTTATGCTCTTGGAAAGGCAGCTGGAGGCATAGAATTGTGGAATGGTTTGGGTTAGAAGGGACCTTAAAGATCATCTTATTCCAAACCCCTGCCCTGGGAGGAAAAAGCAGCTGAAAACAGGCTGTGGATGTTTGTGTGGAGTAATGGAAGTCACCAGAAATGAGGGTGATATTTGGGGAGTTCCGAGCACAAGTCTTGCTGTGGATTTTAGGAAAATCAGTGACTGTGTCCCACCAAGTTCCCCGCTATTCGATTTAGGCCAAAGGCTTTTAAAATCCTTGGCTCTGGTTTTCCTGATTTTGGGCTTTCCCACTTTGCATTCCCACCTTCTTCCTGCATCATCACAGCACGAGGAACACGATTTACCTTTATCCTTAAGTCCTCCTGTGCCTCTGTGTTTCTGTGCCCACGGGGGACTTCAGAGGGACAGTTACAAACCGTGCTCTTTGTTGCTGCTTTTTCTCTATTTCAGTCCGCACATAATGTAATACATTCCAGAAAATGAAACAACAAAAACCCCCCAAGTTATATTATTTCCTTTTATTTTTATTTTTATTTTTATTTTTATTTTTTTTCCCAGGGGGAAACTGCAATACTGTCCTAGTGGCAAATATCTGTGGGGAAGCTGTGCATGTAGAAGAGACCGTAAGTTGAACTGATTTCTGCAGAATTAAAGCCTTGTTCCTGCTCCTGTTGCGATTGGCCGTAGCTGGGTTTAAAGAACAGTCTCTGGAGAGCTGTGGCAGGAGGCCCAGAGAAACATCTTGCCTAATTCCTCGCAAACATTGGATGGTCTTATCTCCAAAGGCTCAGAACACAGATTGCTCTCCCCAGCCTGATTTGTGATGCAAACAGAGGAGTGGTGACCGGCCCAGGGGAAAAGAAGAGCTTGAAACAGAGCGGGCACAAGGAGCTAAAAATCTAAGCCCACGGGATAGTGTTAATTATTATTCTTGGTTCAACTCTCTGGCTGGGTTTGAATGGTTCATCACATAACGAGGTCGATGGAATTGCAGCCGTTCACATCTGGCTTTTCAGCTGGTTCAGGAATCAGGAGTGACCTCCCGAGAGTAAGGGGTTTTTTTAACCTGTGAAATAATGAAATTGGTGAAAACCTCCCTGCATGAACCGGATCAACAACCGCTTCCATAACACAGAGGAGGGAACCACTCTGCTCTTTGCCAAGAAAGTTTTCCGTGGCAAAAAAAAAAATGTAAAAGCACAGACACTTGGTGGGCAGTTGTTCTTCAAGGCAGAGTTGTTTTTAATCAAACTGGGAGGGCTGGCTGCCACTCCAGAGGGCTGTGCTGCCACCCAGTGTGACCTGGACAGGCTGGAGAGCTGGGCAGAGAAGAACTTAATGAGGTTCTACAAGGGCAAGTGTAGGGTCCTGCACCTGGGGAGGAAGAACCCCTGGCACCAGTAGAGGTTAGGGGTGGACCTGCTGGAAAGCACTTCTGAGGAGAAGGATCTGGGGGTCCTGGTAGATAGTAAATTATCCATGAGCCAGCAATGTGCCCTTGTGGCCAAGAGGCCAATGGGATCCTGGGCTGCGTAGGGAAGAGTGTGGCCCATAGGTCGAGGGAGGTCATTCTCCACCTCTGCTCTGCACTGGGGAGGCCACAACTGGAATCTTGCCTCCAGTTCTGGGCTCCCCAGTTCAAGAGGGACAGGGAACTACTGGAAAGAGTCCAGCGTAGGGCTACAAAGATGATGGAGGGGTTGGAGCATCTCCCTGGTGAGGAAAGGCTGAGAGAGCTGGGGCTCTTGAGCCTGGAGAAGAGAAGGCTGAGGGGAGACCTTATCAATGCTGACAAGTGTCTAAAGGGTGGGATGAAGGAGGATGGAGCTGGACTCTTTTCAGTGGTTCCCAGTGACAGGACGAGGGGCAACGGGCACAAGCTGGACCATGGGAAGTTCCACTCAAATCTGAGGAAGAACTTCTTTACGGTGAGGGTGATGGAGCCCTGGCAGAGGCTGCCCAGGGAGGGTGTGGAGTCCCCTTCTCTGGAGATCTTCAAGCCCCACCTGGATGCTCCTGAGTGATGTGCTCTGGGCAGCCCTGCTTTGGCAGGGGAGTTGGACTGGATGGGCTCTAGAGGTCCCTTCCAACTCTGACAAAAATTCCGTGATTCCATGATCTCCATGTGTCCCAGTAGCACCAAGAAACTTGGAATATTACTGAGGAGGCAGCTGAAATACTTTGCATCCAGAGGAGGATTTTCAGCCTTGTGAGGGCTTACTCTCCAGATACCACAACTGCAGGAATTGAGCTTGAAGGCCCTTTTGAAGGGTGTGATTTGGAGTTTTTAGGATGGGTTATTTTGCTCAGGAACGGGAGTGGGTGTTTTTGCCATCACAGCTCACACCCAAAGAGCTGCCCAAATGCAGAAGAGAAAAGACAAAAGAGATGATCCGAAGCTGGCTGATGGCAGAGGAATGAGAAATCCTCTACTGCTCCCTGCAGTTGAATAGCTTTTGTATTTCTGCACACTGGGATCTGAGAGGATTAAGTAGTAACAGATGATGAAAATGACATCCTTGCCAATTTCTCCTTCAGTTACTTAAAACCCGTGTTTTTCAGTTGTCTTCTCTTCGTTTTGCTACCAGAATGAAATGGATCACAACGGAGCCCGTCATCAACGAGACGTACGACCCAGAGGTACGTGGAGGAGGGGAATGGAAGATGGCATATTTTCTCAAGGTTCATTAATATTTAGGGTAATGACCTTAAAAACCAGAGGGGAATTTGGGAGTTTAATGAATTACCCCTCATCGGCCAAGCTGATACTCGCTGAATTTAGGTAGATGATAAAATGGATTAGTATTAAATTATTTCCGTTGGTATTTAATTCAAGTTACCTTGAATATGCAGTCATGTGGTAATTCTTTCAACTGCATATGTTGGATTCCTTAATTTTTGTGATAAGATTCACCTCTTAACAGTGATTTTTTTTGTGGTGGTCTCCTCCCCTGGTACGTGGGGAAATCGTCTCCGGTCCCACCTGCAGCTTTACACAGTGTTATCCCCGTTGCTGCTGGTTTTTGCCACAAATACGAAACTTGTCTCCACAAGAAAATAATTTAAATAAAATGATCACAGTATTTTAGATGTCCTGAGTGCACTTTTGCAGCTGAAACAGAGCTGGCAGCAATAAATGCTCTGTGAATTACCGATAGCCTGAAGAAGAAGAAGTTTAGAATGATCCATAACACGTGGTGTGTGAGGACCCTGCTGTATTTCACTGGCAAATGGTGAAACAGCTGGGGCAGTTTCCTCCAACAGCTTCCAGAAGCAGCTCTTTTCTTCTTTAGTCCCTTTCCTTTTTTGTTGAGATGTGGGGAGTGGAAAAGAATAGCCCCAAGAGTCCTGTTTAAGGGAAGCTTTGATGCTCAACAGGTTGTGGGGAGTGGAAAAGAATAGCCCCAAGAGTAGCTTTGATGCTCAACAGGTCGCTTCAAAAGCAGCTCAGTGTCAACCCCCACAGATTTGTGTCCCCACACTGTTCTGGAAACACATGTTAAATAGTGAATGCTTGAAGATATTCCATGTTATGGAGAAATCCAACCAAACACATCGCAGGAGACTCCCTCCTCTATTATGTCAGAACTCAGTAAGGGACAGAGTGGAGACCCTCAGACTTCTTGCCTTTCAGCATAATACCTCATAGTCCAGAACTTGATGGTCCTTACAGTAGCCAGATCAGGAAAGCACCAAATTAAAAACCAGGTGGCCTTTCTTCTGGTGGCTTGGGCTGGCTCTGCAGGCGGTACCCACAGGGCACAACAGAAGCCTTCTTGCTGGAAGCTCCTCAAAGGAGAAACCATTGCCAGACACACAGCTTCAGGGATGCAAACCTGACAGCAGAGCCCAGGGGAGCTGGTGCACAGCTGTGATGTTCTCTAGCAGCCGCTTCAATGCTGCTTTTCAGCAGTTTTTTTCCTCTGGTAGCATTTAATGATTTGCTCACCTTTTTTTTCTTTCTTTTGTTTTCCCTCCTAGGGGACAGTGAAAGCTTTGGAGAAGGAGATTTTTCTTCTGAAGCAGGAACTGGCCAGGCACAACAGCTTGGTAAGGAACAGGCTGCGCCATCTTAGGTGGGACCTAATTAAAGCTTTGTCACAATCTTTATTTTTAAGTTAATTCAATGTCCAATGTGATTGGGTTCTCCCTTCTGCTTCCAGCACTGTCTTTTGGGGTTTAGGTGAAGCTCTGCAGATCCCATGAAGTGAGGCTGTGGTGTAGCTTCAATCCCCACCCCTAGATGTTTCTTTCAAGCTCTTGAAGCCCTCTTCTTCTTTGGTTGAAATGTGAAGGGGAACACTTTGCTTTCAGCGCGCTCCCAAGACCTGCCCACCCAGACGATGAGAAATCCCAATCAGAAATGAAACCTAAGGCTTCTCTGGGCACAATAGAGCCATGTCAGTACTTGATTAGCTTTTTGTAGTCACTGATACTCAATTGTTCACCTTTTTTTCTCAGATAAATCGTTCTTTGGTGAATTACGACCCTCTGACAAACGTCCAGATAGCAGAGATTAAGTCTCAAGTCCATAAATATCTAACAGGAGACATTGATGAAATTGATGTAAGTAGCTTTCTAGCAGAAAAGGACTTAAATACTGATTCCATCCCATTTTACTCCAAGACAGAAGCGATGACAATGCCTTCTGAAGAGGCTGTCTTTAACCCTAAAGGTGCTACAGAGTTGTGATTTCTTTTTTTTTTTTTTTTCTTAAGGGCTGTGTCCTTGTTTTCATTCAATTTTTTGCTTTTCTTGGAAGCTTGAGGAGACTTTTCCTCAGTCCTGAAACTCTTTGAGTTGGTCTATTTGGAACCTCTTTAAAGAATTTAAAGTTTGGACAGGGCTTTGAGCAACCTGGTCTAGTGGGAGGTGTCCCTGCCCGTGGCAGGGGGTTGGAACTGGATGATTATCTTCTCTCAAAGTCCCCATTTTCTCCCTCCAGCGGGCAGGAGTGCAGTGGGAAATGTTCTTATGTGAAGGTGTGTTTTACCTGGGCTGCTAAATGTGATGTGGTGGGAGTGAAGCAGGGAAGGTAGAGAAGGACTAAGGAGTTTCACCCAGGGAAGGATATCTCCAGTGGCATTGAAAAGTCTTTTAGAGGGTTGAAAACAGAGATAGTTCATTTCATAGCTTATGGAATCATAGGATCATAGAGTGGTTTGGGTTGGAAGGGACCTTAAAGCCCACCCAGTGCCACCCCCTGCCCTGGGCAGGGACACCTCCCACCACACCAGGTTGCTCCAAGCCCCCTCCAACCTGCCCTTGAACCCCTCCAGGGATGGGGCAGCCACAGCTTCTCTGGCCAACCTGGGCCAGGCTCTCCCCACCCTCCCACCAAACAAGTTCTTCCCCACAGCTCAGCTCCATCTCCCCTCTTGCAGGGTCAAACCCTTCCCCCTCCTCCTAGGGCTCCCCTCCCTCATCCAGAGTCCCTCCCCAGCTTTCCTGGAGCCCCTTGAGGGACTGGAAGGGGCTCCAAGGTCTCCCTGGAGCCTTCTCTTCTCCAGGCTGAACCCTCCCAACTCTCTCAGCCCCCCTCACACCAGTGGGGCTCCAGTCCTCGTGGCATCTTTGTGGCCCTCTGCTGGAAGGGGCTCCAGTCCTCGTGGCATCTTTGTGGTCCTCTGCTGGACCTGTCCATGTCTCTCCTGTGCTGACAACTCCAAAACTGGACACAGTGCTCCAGGTGGGGTCTCACGAGTGCCTGGTCCAGTCTTTTGGACCTTGGGAGCACTGAGTGCTGATTTCTGCTCAGTTCCAAGTACCCAGAGTCCTCAAAATGGGAAATACTGGAATCAGTGCAGCTGACCACAGCACAGAAATTATTGTATCTTACCTGTGTCTTCATCTCTTCCTCAGATAGTGAACATCAGGCAAGTCCAGGAGGTATTTAAGGAGTTCAAACTGGTTGTAAGGTAAGATATCCAAGGTGGACATTCCAAACCCGCCTGGACACGTTCCTGTGGGACCTGCTCTGGGTGGACCTGCTCTGGCAGAGGGTTGGAGGAGATGATCTCCAGAGGTCCCTTCCAAACCCATGTCATTCTGGGATTGTGTGAAGTTTACAATGGTTATGGGGAAGAATAGAAGGAGCAAGGTGGGGTGTTTGGAAAGGAGGTCACAGGTGAAGGATGGTTTTCTTTGGAAAGCTGATATCAGCAGATAGTACAGGTTTTGACAGATGAAATTGTCCTCCTTGGACACAAAGGTAAAGGGCTGTTTTCTCCTCTAGTCAACAGGAGCATGAAGTGGAGGCCAGATTGCGAAGCAAGTACGCTCTGATAGACAAAAATGACTTTGTTACCATTGCTGCTCTTCAGAAGGTAAAAGCAACATTCATATCATCAGAGGAGTAGGCCCCTTATCTGAACAGAATCATTTATTAAATGGGAATGAAGAAAATATAAACTAGAAGGGGACCTGTCTGTCAATCAGTTGTAGAAGGTGGCGTCGGGTCACCTGCCTCTGCTGAGATCCCTCTTTTAATCCTTGTCATTTCTGGAGCAAAGTAAATGTATCGTGTATTAACCATAAATACAGATGTGGACTCTAAATTACAGTTTATAATCTATTTTTCATTACTTCTTTCCACCTGTGAAATATTTCCTCTCTGAAGTGGTTATTTCCTTGCCTTGATTTTACCTGGTCCAGCAGATAAAATAACCATTATCTGTTTGGCAGAGTCATCTCTAAGTGATAGACTTAAATCCTGTGGCTTCACTGGAGATGCTTTGAATTTTTTGGGTGAGATACACGAGGGAAAATGCAAAATATTTGGAAATAGGAAATATAATTCTTGTCTGTATCTTCCCTGAATGAAGACTTTTGAGGGTGCTTTTATTTCTCTGGCACCAGACCCAACTTATTCTCCCTCTAAAGTGGCTGGAGTATTTGGCATATGAATTTGAGGATAATTTTGGCCCTATGTTAGTTTTCACTTCATTCTTCTAGACGTGTTTCTCTGAAATCCTTGGTAGTGCACAGAGATTTCTGGATTATATTGGACAACGTATTGTCTTATTTCTTCCTATTTCCAGGAAGGTGTGGTTGATGTGGGTGGCCATTTGGCAGAGGAAGAGGAGGAACAGGCTTCTAGGACTAGAACTGCTTCTTTTTCCTCCAGACAAGGTGGGAAGAGGAAACCCAGGAAAGGCAGCGAGCAGCCCAAGTGAGTTAAGCAGCTGCTTTGTGGTCTTTGCTACACAAGGCAGTCCCTCTACTCTAGAAAGTAAGGATTTGTGAGAACAAGGCTGATCTTATCCATTTCACTAGATATTTCACTGCAAACTTTGGTAGAAGCAGCATCATCAAACCGCTCGTTTTTGAATCCAGCACCTGCAGGACGTTTTGCTTCCAGCTTCCTATTATTAAGACATTAATTAATCTGGTTCATCTTTTCCCCCCCCTGTCAGGAAGGAAGGAATCGGGAACTCCCTTTCGGTGAGAGATCTGGTTGGTATTTTACCATCCAAAAGCCAGGGAAGAGTTTCCACCAAGGATCTGGATGTGAAAGAGGGAGCAAGGAACCAGGATACAGCGAGTGTTGAGGCAGAGCTCTCACAGCCAGCTCCCGTGGAGGTTCCCCAGCGGCCCAGGTAAGCTTTTCCTGCAAAGGAGTATTATCTTTGCCAGAGGGTGGTTTACAGAATCTTCTAAAAGTGCAGTTTTCCCCAGCATTGGAAGAGGAATTAGCCCCGTGGCACTCAACCCAGGATAACTCCTGAAGAACCTCAGCGTGTTGTCATGTTCCTCCGTGTCCTCTGCCTGCCTTTTCCTGTTCCTTGGAAAAGTCCCGTGGCTGCTGCAGCTGTGGAGCTGGCAACGCCGGGGCTGTGGCAATCTGCCCAGTGGCCCTTGTTTACAGCGGTTTGCCAGTGATTTGGCAGGGAAAGGACTTCTCAGGCAGCCTTTGAGGCGTTTGAAAATGCCCTTAAGAGGTCAATCGGGGGAAGGCAGTAGCTGGAGTTTTGCTTTGAGCGGTCTAGACTGAGGAACGTGGAGATTTGGAGCTACTTTCTGCTACTGGATCCAGCCCGCTCATGGAGCAGCGTCCTTGGGAGCGTGACGTTCTCCTGAGGGACTTCTCCTTTTGCCCAGCGTGGTTTGTGATGAAGTAAGAGCTGGTCGGTCTCTTTTCTCAAGTCACAGGCGACAGGACAAGAGGAAATGGCCTCAAGTTGCACCAGGGGAGGTTCAGGCTGGATATTAGGAAAAATTTTTTCACTGAAAGGGTCATCAGGCATTGGAATGGGCTGCCCAGGGAGGTGGTTGAGGCACCATCCCTGGAGGTGTTCAAAAGCCGGGTTGATGTAGTGCTGGGAGGTCTGGTTTAGTGATGATGCTCCTTGTTTGTTGTGGGGGTGTCTATTTTTGTCAGTTAGGTTGACGGTTGGCCAAGATGATCTTTAAGGTCCCTTCCAACCTAGAAGATTCTGTGATTCTGTTGAGCTGTTCCTTGGGGGGGGACACGGGGGACGTTTGCAACAAAGCCATTTCGTAGAAAAGTCACGATCGACACACGCTGCTTCGAGTTCAGTCTTTCTAAAGAGACAAGACTTCCAAACCGCGGGCGGCAGCGTGGTGGAGCCGGCCAATGCACGCAGCTGTGGGCTCTGGTTGGCAGAGGTGACTGGTCCATATTGGGATCCAGCAGGGAAAGAGCAAAGAGACGCTTCTGTTTAACAATAGAAGGGAACAATATCCATTATTTTTCTGGAAAATCAGACCATTAACGGTCCGCTTTCCCAGGAAGCCTCAATTCTGAGGCGTCTCCTGAGGAATGTGGTTTTTATGTAAATAACTCTTTCTTCTGGGAGTGGGGGAAGGAGGGTATGAAGGTGGGCGCGGAGACGGTACCAGGGTGCAGCTGGCACAGCCAGATCCTCAAAAACTAGGGCCTAGAAGACAAATCATATGAAGAGCGGCTGAAGGAGCTGGGGCTGTTTAGTATGAGGAAGAGGAGGCTGAGGGGAGACCTCATCACTCTCTACAACTTCATGAAAGGACACTGTAGAGAGGTTGGTGCTGGTCTCTTCTCACAGGTAATTAGTGACAGAACGAGAGGGAACGGCTTCAAGCTCCAACAGGGGAGGTTTAGATTGAACATTAGGAAGGAATTTTTCACCCAAAGAGTGGTCGGGCATTGGAACAGGCTGCCCAGGGAGGGGGTGGAGTCCCCATCCCTGGCTGTGTTTAAGGGCCGTTTAGATGCAGTGCTGAGGGACATGGTGTAGGGGAGGACTTTGTAGAGTAGGGGAGATGGTTGGACTCGATGATCCCAAGGGTCTCTTCCAACCTCAATGATTCTATGATTCTATGATTCTAACTGAAATACCAGCCCCAAACTTCAGCTACGGCTGCTCCCAGGAGCTGTGTCACGCTGTAGGGCAGACCTGACCTCCCCACATATGTCTGTGTTTTCTTGGACTTCCCTTGCAGCTCCCCTCCCTCCAAGCTGGTGGCATTTGAACAGTTTAAAGAGGAAGGTGGGAGTGAGATCAACCGGATCTTCAAAGAGAACAAAAGCATCCTCCTCGCCAGGAAGAGGAGAAGCAGCGCGGTGGCGCAGAGGGTCAACTTCATCAAGCGGGAGATAGAGAGCATCAGGAAGACTCTGGAGGCTCAGAAGCAGGAGAGGTGGCAGCAGGGTAAGTTGCTGTGCAGAGACCAGCCAGTGAGAACGTGACAGAAGGCAGGAACCACTGGTTTCAAAGCAATTCTGGTGGTGAGGCCACCAGACCACCCCTGGGGCAACAGGACAGGCCAGGCTTTAGACTTCTGGTGGTGAGGCCACCAGACCACCCCTGCTGCCTGCCGGGGCAACGGGACAGGCCGGGCTTTAGGTCCCAGCTCTGCAGAATCATAGAATCATGGAATTGTCCAGGTTGGGAGGGAACTTTTAGATCATCGAATCCAATCATCAACCCAACAGTGATAAAACCCACCACTGACCCATGTCCCTCAGCACCACGTCTGCCTGGCTTTTAAATCCTTCCAGGGATGATGACCCCTCCACTGCCCTGGGCAGCCTCTGCCAACACTGGACAACCCTCTCCAGGAAGAAATTTTTCCCAATCTCCATCCTAAACCTCCCCTGGTGCAACCTGAAGCCATTTCTTCTTGTCCCATCACCTGTTCCCTGGGAGAAGAGACTGACCCCCCCGGCTACACCCTCCTTTCAGGGAGTTGGAGAGAGCAAGAAGGTCTCCCCTCAGCCTCCTTTTCTCCAGGCTGAACACCCCCAGGTCCCTCAGCCACTCCTCAGAAGTTCTCCAGACCCTTCTCCTTGGTCTCCAGACCCCTCACCAGCTCCGTTGCCCTTCTCTGGACACGCTCCAGCCCCTCAATTTCTTTCTTGGCTTGAGACTACATTAGTAGGGTCTATGATTAAATTAGAGACCCGCTCCAGTCCCTCAATGTCTTTCTTGGCGTGAGGGGTCTATGATCAGATTAGGGTCTGTGATTAGATTAGGGTCTATGAAAGTCAAAATACCAAACTCCAAGGTACTAGAGGGAAAAAAATGGGCTAAGTGCCTTCCTCCTTCACTGCAGCAAGATGTTTATTAGGTGGAATATGCCTGGATGAGACTAGGAAGTGTGTCAGGTTTCCTGTTCTCCGCGGCAGGACTCCCAGGAGTCGGTGTTATTGAGTTCTGCAGAGGAGAAACGCCTCTGGGCACGGAGAGAAAGCTGAAACAAATGGCTTTAATAGCAGAGTCCTCTGCCTGGGATGGGGAGGAAGTAGCAGTGGTGTTCCTCGCAAGGAGGACAGCAGAATGACTCTGTTCTGTGAAACGACAGCCTTAATTATTGCCAGGCAATTAGCAGGAAATAAGAGGGAATGGGAGAGGAAAGAAATGGCCACCAGCAAGCGGTGAATGAGGGCTGGAGAGTCAGAGCCAGTGTCAATGCTGCTCTACTGGCTTCCATTGCTCTTCCTCCAGAGAGACTTCTGTGACCATGCTCTGCAAGAGGCCTCTTCCCAGAGGGTCTGATCCTGTAAACCCAAAGTTATTCTGGTTAAATGATGAGCAAATCACCTTGAATCCATATCCACGTGAGGGTCTGTCTTTTCATGGACATTGCTTCTCTTGGGCCTTTGCTTTTTATGATGACACCTCCTGACTGGTGGTTTATTGTGGGTGCTGGAAAGTGATTGAGGAAAACTGATTTGAGGGAAACCAAGGAAGACATTTCTAGAAGGGAAGTAGCACTGGTTTAACTGTCCCCAAAGGACTGACCAGCCCTCCCTTTGTCTCAAAAACCCTTGCCATGGCCACCCAGGAGCCATAAAAGCTCTAGGTGATACCCTCCAGCAGGCTGCAATGTGGGTGTCTTTCTGCAGAGCCCGGTCCTTCCTCTTCATCAGCGCGTGTCCCCGCTCCGGGAGGACTGAGATCTGAGTAGGTTCAAGAGTTGAGTGGTGATTTCTGCCCCACACCACTCCAACGCCGTATTTATTTGTAGAAAGCATGTCTAAGGAAATGTCAACTGTGTGGTTAACCTCAGCATAAGTGGGTAACTACCGTGTGGTTCGAAGCATAATGACTGTTCTTCGTCCCTCTCCACCCTCAGAAGAAACCTTGGTTTCCTTTTCTTACCCTCCAGGGGAGTACGTGGATGACAAAGGACAGATCATCATTGACGAGGAGGAGTTTTCACTCATCATGAAGCTGAAGGACCTGAAGGAGGAGTACAGGTCTGGTTACACTGAACTGCAGGACCTGAAGGCAGAAATCCAGTACTGCCAGCATCTGGTGGACCAGTGTCGGAACAAACTCATCTCAGGTACTGGGGACCAGGGTGGTACCCTCTCTGGGTTATTTTAATTAATTAATTAAGAAATTAAGGGGCTGGAGCATGTCCAGAGCCCCCAGTTTGGCTGGGATCCTCGAGAGCAGCTCAGTGCTGAAACACTCCACAGACATAGTGCATATAAACCAAGCCCTGTCATCCTCTGTTTTTGCCTTCCAGACTTGTTTTTTAATTGATTATTGGGTTTTTTGGTGGTTTTCTTTTTTGGACATAACACCGAATTGCTGCAGATTCCTTTGGTGGGAGGGTGGTGAGAGCCTGGCCCAGGTTGGCCAGAGAAGCTGTGGCTGCCCCATCCCTGGAGGGGTTCAAGGGCAGGTTGGAGGGGGCTTGGAGCAACCTGGGCTGGTGGGAGGTGTCCCTGCCCAGGGCAGGGGGTGGCACTGGGGGGGCTTTAAGGTCCTTTCCAACCCAAACCATTCTATGATTCTGATTCTCTCTCTCAGATATCTCATACCATAGAATCACAGAATGGTTTGGGTGGGAAGGGACCTTGATCAATCCACTTGATGTGATGCTGGGGGTAAAAGCCTTTCACAATGGGGTTGAAAACACCACTCCCCCTGATAGCCCTGGTTCTCACCCTGGATTTCATGGAATAGATGTGGCAGCTGAGGATCTGCACTGGGCCAGGGCTTTGGCTCTGCATTGCAGATGCCTCCTCTGGACCCCCGTGAGATCAGCATTACTCAGGTTCCAGCAAGGGCCCCTCGGCAGGAAACCCACTTTGGTGATTTTAGCGTGTTCTTCACGAGCACCACCCTCCTGGTGATGAGTCACATCTCTGCTCGGGGTGATCCCTGCACATTTGGGGTGTGCTCTGCTGCAGGACGCTCAGTTTGAGGCTGTGGCCACAGGAGCACAGTCCTGCTCTCTCCCCAGATTTGTCCTGTAGGATGGAAAACAGGAGGTGTAGGAATGCCAGAGTCCCAAATGTTTGGATGCCGTGCACATGGCAACACTTTTATGTTCTACAAACTCCCCAGAGCACAACTTGTATCCGTTCTTGCATCCCATGCCAAAAAAAATGCCTGGCTTCCAGGGGATAGATGGGGCCAAAGCGTAATTGGGTGGAAACTCTGCCACTGGTTTGCTTTTTCCCCCAGGGTCTGGCATTTTTCGGGTGCTCCAGCTGTTTGTTTAAACACACGGCCATGGCCTCATCCACCATCTGTGTCAGCCCAGAGAGAAAAGGTCACCTCAGAGCTAAAACTGGGGTGAAAAGGCGGTGGTGTTGCATCATTTCAGCCCTGCCAAGCCAGAGCAGGGCTCTGGGTTTGACCTTGTTTGTCCTTCACGACTCCCAGGAGAGAAAACAGCCCCGTTCCTGGGGTCACTGTGGTGACACTGCCTTCTCCAGGGGCTCTCCTGCTCCGTGGGGGAATGTTCCAGAAGACCAGAGGAGAGCACAGCCTCCTTGCAGCCGGACAAGATGATCTTTAAGGTCCCTTCCAACCTAGAAGATTGATTCTGTGATTCTGTGATCTGGGAAATGCCCAGGATTAATAAGGACGGAATTCCTGCTGCGTGGCGGCACCTGCCGTGTGTCCTCACTGGTTATTACGGGATGGAAAGCGCTTCTGTAGCATTTGGAATGGAAATCTGACCCCCCCAAAATGTGCTGACCGCTCAAAATGGCCAGCTCCAAGCTGGCTGGCTCGGTGTCCCCGGGATGCAGGAGCAGTGCCATCTCGTGGCCACCCACCTTCTGGCCTCCACAAGCCCCAGGGGACTGTCCCCAAGACCAGCCACCACCTCCCAGGCAGTGAGGACGGGCAGCAACACAGCTAAGAGTGCCCTGGCCTTTATAACCAACTTTTCCAAGAGTTTGAAACTCGGGAGCATGGAGTTCTGAGGTCCCATCTGAGAGTTTAAGAGCACTGAGGTCCCCTCTGACCCACAGGTGGGGAGCCAGAAGCAGCCCCCAATTTGTCTCAAGGGCGACAAAGCTGGTGAGGGGTCTGGAGAATAAGTCTTATGAGGAGAGGCTGAGGGAATGGGGGTGTTCAGCCTGGAGAAGAGGAGGCTGAGGGGAGACCTTATTGCTCTCTCCAACTCCCTGAAAGGAGGGTGTAGAGAGGTGGGGGTCGGTCTCTTCTCTCAAGTCACAGGCGACAGGACGAGAGGAAATGGCCTCAAGTTGCCCCAGGGGAGGTTCAGGCTGGATATTAAGAAAAATTTTTTCACTGAAAGGGTTCTCAGCCATTGGAATGGGCTGCCCAGGGAG